AGCCCCAGCCCCAGCTCCAGCTCCAGCCTGGCAGGCTCTGGCGCTCACCCAGCGTTGCCACTTCATGCAATATCCCCGCTCCATCTGTCATCAATTCCTTTGCATGTGGTTTGCAGACTCCGTGCCGTGCCCTGCCTTGTGTGGCTCTGTGACAGGGCATCTCTGGGCACTGACAAATTCTTTGCTTTTATCATTTTTGCAAGAAAACCACTGGAAGCAAACGCAGAGGCGAATTACATGGCACAGCTGCGTTGCTGTTAACCATCAGGGAAAAGTCATCCTTAAAGCCCAGCTTCTTATGCCTTCATCTGTGCTGCTGAGACGACTTCAGATCATTAAAAAAAAAAAATCTATAATTTAACAGTTATTATAGGTTTGGCTATTAGAAAGCCAAACAGCCCTGTGATGGGTAGGAGGATGTTGCCCAGCTCTGCTTTCTGCTCACCTTTTGCTGCCTAAGCCTCACCCTGTGCCCTATGAACACCTGCAAAATTTGTGGATTTCTCTTTTTCTCCAAGTTGAAATTAAGTAGACCTTGTGCAAACATTTCTGCAACATTGTATTTTTGCATAAATAGCCAACCAAGCATTGAAAAGAATGCCTCTCTAATTTTCTAACCTTAAACGTGTTACGAGTTGAGGTGCATAACCTCTTGTATAGGATGGAGTGGGAGATGAGGAATGTGAGTGAGAGGAAAGGCATTTTAGCTGGATGTGTGTGTTAGGCTGAGTAAAGGAGTTGAATTAGTACAAAAATCTCCTTGGCAGCTCTTCCATGGGGTGTTTGCTGTGAGCTCACACACTTGCCAGGGTAGGTGAGTGTGTCATGTGCTCTTGGCAGCTCCCAGGGCACCAGGGCTCTATCGTATGCATTTATTTAAATTTGTTACCTGTGGAACACAATCAGAGCAATGTGATGGCTGAAAGACTCAAGTCTTACAGAGAAAACAGTCTGGTGGGTGAGAGCAGACAGCAGGTAGTGGTGAGGGAGATGACAGATGCTTCAGAATGGTTAATTCCTCAATTTGAAACACATTTGGTCAAGATGAGGCTCTGGGAGAGGATTGCCCATTGTCAGCTGGTTTGGTGAGATGATAAATGAATATTGTTATCAATGGTGAGATGGCTGAAGCTGTTAGATGATAGGGTTGTTTTTTAAACATGCCTGTTTTCAACAATTCCTTCATAAAAAGCCCTGAATTGGGAAAGAAAAATAGAGGGAATATGAACCTGCACCGTGTCATAAACAGACCTCAGGAAAACGAGTTTTCAAAGGAATGCCTGTGCTGTAGGAAACTTCATTTTGCTGCTTTCGTGCAGAACAGTGGATTACACCAACAATAACCCAACAAGTACTGTGAAATCCTGCTCATAGGCTGCAGTCTGGGAGCTGCTCAGCACAGTTATCACATACCTTTGTATCTGTTACAAACCATGGGGGCTGGAGAAGTATTTAAATTCGGCCACCTCCAATTTGAAGTGCAGGAGCAGTTTGAGAAGGCAGAGGTTGAGAGAAGGACAATTGCAAAGAGCATTTAATAGAGTGAATGACCAAGCAACTGGGAAATTCAGCCTAAAATCCTTGTGGAGGGCCTCATGGAGGCCAGTGCCTGAATTCCCAGTGCTCTCCTGGGGAAACTGAGGCAGCTCTGAGGTTTCCCACCTGCAGGTACCACCCAGCTGTGTTTTTGGGTAGGACTACTCAGCCAGGGAGAGGTCAGCAGAGTGAAGGGCCAGGGAACAGCAAGGAGGGATGGGCAGGACAAGGGGAACAGGCTGCCTGGCCAGGGAGGAGAGCTGGGAAAAGCAGGAATGAGGATGGTCCTGGGAAGTGCCAGGATCAGTCAAGAGAGGGTTAAGCATGGACATCACTGCCAACACAGGGCAGAGGCTGCATTTTCCCAGGATGGAAAAGCAGGAGATGGAATCCATCCTACCCTCCAGCCAAGCATCCCCTCCCTGCTCCATGCTCCCTGTGCTGATCCCAGAGGACTGGAATTCCTATGGATGCACAGTGAGCCCATGGCTGACAAAGAGCCCTCCTCTCCTCCGAATCACACCACATCCCCAGAAGTCCCCATGCTGGGGAGGCAGAAACCACAGCCCTGGGAAGGAGTTTACTGTCCTTGGGGAGGGCAAGAATTCTTCCCAGCAGGGCAGCCCAAAACCCTTTCTGGGGAGAAGGAAGGTAGACAGGAATCAGGCTCTGGACAGCAGCAGTGCTGCTGATGGAGTGTGATGGATGCCCACATGCATCCCACAAGGAGTGCCCACACCTTCACCATTTCCATTTGACTGGCCCAACTGAACACTCCTTCACTGCTATTTCACTGTTATTTCATCAGTGACCTGGCTGTGAAGGCAGAAATGCTGACTTTATTCCGACACAGATCCTCTCAGGATGGGGAGACAAAGCATTTCCACTCATAGCATGCAGCTCCCTGCCAGAGCTGGGGTCCCTCTGGGTGTCGGGGCTGGCATGGAAGTGGCTCAGCCCCTCAACAGCCCTCTCTTCTGGCTCCTTGCATCCTGAAATGGCAGCTCCTCTGCCACCCAGGCCCATGGATGGGGTTCCCAGCAGCCCACACATCAGCTGGAGCTGGTTAGGAGCCTCAGTGCAGGGTGGGTCGAAAATATCTCGTGTGAATAGTTTTTACAAGGTGAAAAGGGAGGAATAGGACTATCTAAAGAAGTGGTTTCTTTTTCTGTTTTGGCAAAAAGTGTCTGTTTTCAGTGGGGAAAAAAAAATAAAGAAGCAGCATTTTCATTAAAAATTAAAATGCTGAAGACTCAAAACTTTCCAGCCAAAAATACCCAGCTAAGGCCAAAAAGCTTTTCATTTCTTATTGAAATGAGTCTTTAGAGAGAAAAGAGCTGAAGATTTCTGTGGGAAACACCAGCATTCTCTAGTCTGGCTTTTGAATGTTTGCTTGATTCCTTTCGCTGCCCCTCAGGTTCAGGATTTACGTCTCCCCCAGCTGAGAGCGGAAAAGGTTCATTTGCAGGATTTGCTCTTATTGCTGCTCCCGCCCCAGCTGAAGCCCAGCTCGCCTCCACGTCCACACGAGGAAATCTCAAAAAACTCTGAGCTCAAAATAAACTCGTTTCCCTTTTTACTGTTCCCTCCTCGTCCCGAGGAGTGACATGTTCTGTGCGTGGGTTAAGCGCTGCCTGTGCCCCAGCAGTGCCGGGGCGAGGGTGGAGTGGGGGAGCTGGAGAAGGGTATTCAGGGGAGGCTGATTTACAGATGCTACATCTGACCCCATACCTGGGATTTTATGCACTTTACACGTGTGATGACCAGGTTAGCAGATGAGGCACGTGATAACTGATAAACACTGAAATAAAGTCATTCTCAGCAGTGAGGATTTGTTGTATTTCGATGGCCCCGTCCTCACCGGGAGGAGACCAGGGAGAGGTGACATCAGGGAACGTGGGGGCAAGAAAAGCAATTTCAAACGGCAAGAAAAGTCATTTCAAATTGGTTTGGGAGAGGGAGGAGCAGGAGGAGTTTGGCTCCTGCGGGAGCAGGAGCTGCAGGAAGGGGCTGGAAGGGAAGGAGCTGCGGGGTCCCGGCTGTCCCACGCCCGACCCCGGTACCTTTGCAGGCCTTGCGGTGGGAGATGGGCTTGCTGAGGTCTCGGTAGAAGCCCTCCTTGCAGTAGTGGCAGTGCCTCCCCGCCGTGTTGTGCCGGCAGTTGAGGCAGACGCCGCCGCTCTTGCGCCCCGACAGCTTGTACAGCTCCATGTTGAAGCGGCAGCGCCGGGCGTGCAGGTTGCAGTTGCAGGCTGAGAGAGGCAAAGAGTGGAGATCGTCACCATTTGTGCCCGGCCATGGAGGTGCCAAGCCCAGGGGAGCCTGTGTGAGCAGGGCTGGGCACCCGGTGTGCCCTGTCAGAGCGGGGTGTCACAGGGTGGGATGCTTTGGTGCAGCTGCTAACCCATACCCCCTCCCGACCAAGGCTGTGTGCTAAGTCCAGCTTTCTGGAGGGGAAGCTGAGATCACTAAGACCTCATTTCACTATCCTGACTTGCAGCAAATGTGCCTTTGCCTCTCCCTGCTCTTAATGTGGATTAGAATCTGGGTGCAGGCAGGGCTGTGAGGACCGGGAGCCCATCCATGGTCAGGGAACAGAGCACAGCCCCCCACACTCCTCCTCCAGCTCTGTCACAAGCACTTTGTCCCATGCAAGCACTGCTCTCTCCCTTCTCATCCACTCTCACTTTGTATTGTGCTACTGCTCAGCACAAAGGCCCCCAAACTGCCATGAAATCCCTCCCTTCCCAGTACCTCAGGAGCCCCCTCTCCCCACCCCTGCAGGAAGGGCATTTCCATCATCACCTGCCTGACCTTCCCGGTATTCCCACTCTCACCAGTTCTGACACATGTGTGTGTTTGAGTTCCAAATACCATTTCAAGACCTTCCTAGCTGTTTTCTTCCTTGTCTTTCCATGCCACAGGCTGTGTTACTCATCTGCAGCCTCAGGTATGCTGATAAACCTCACCTCTGCCTCGGCATCCCCCATCCCGCCTGGGGCAGGGCTGGCCTGACACCCCGTTAGGCAAATACCAAGAAGTCCCCCAGTGCTTTGATTGCATGTGCTGTGACTGAGATGTCCAATTCCTCCACCATATGCAGCCTAATGTCAACACAGGCACTATTTTAACAGGGGGCCTTCGCAAAGGACAACTTAAGGACTTCAAAAGCCCGACCCCTCGCCTGCCTCTCCCCAGAGCTGTCACGGGGACATCAAGAGGCAGTTGCTGGGGCTCTGTGCTTTGCTGAGAATTTTATAGCTTGTTTTCTTTTCCCCTTGCTTTTATTTGCTCTTCACCCCTGAACAATGCAGCTGTGCCATGCCAGGCCACAGCTGGGCCTCTCGGCTCGGCACGAAGGTGTCACGGCTCTGGGCTTGTCACCTTCCTTTAGAGCCGAGACATCTTAATCCCTCATTCCTTCCTGTTTACCTTATGGTGCTTGCCCAACACAAAGACATGCTATATTTGCTTAATTATCAAATTTCAACCCAGAAAATTACAGTGCAGTTCCGCATTATTCATCAGGAACAACTCCCAGCTGACACCAGACGTGAAAGGAAAGGGAAGGGAAGAGCGAAATCCTCCATCCACATCCAACCAGTGGGATGGAGCCTGCTCTCTCCATGCCTTGCAGTCGAAATTCCTGCAGCTGGCGTGGTGAGGCCAAGCCTCAGGTCCCCACCAAACGCTGGCAGAGCAGGAGCAGCAGCCAGTGGTGACAGGAGTGTCCCGGGAGCGGTTTGCCGGCCGGGAGGGAGTGAGATTCCCGACACTGAGCAGGGCCACGGCTTTGAACCACGGTTCGCCTCTCCTTTAGATCAGCCCAGCAGCCTGTGGGTGCATTTGTCAACTCCTGAAACAGGAGATGGCCATCAAGGAGACCGGAGACACCGCTCCTGCATCCCGAGGGAATGGCTGCTGTTTAGATCTGGCCGGTCCCACAGACACATGTGCTGATGCTGCGCTTTAACAGCCTGTTTGCAGCTAAAAGGAGCACAGGAGCACGCACCAGGCGCTTTCTGTGCCCTCTTTGGAGGCTTTTCCCCTCCCATCTAAACCTCAGGAAGAGCAGCATGCTGTGCCTTGCTGGAGCAGCTGCTCAGCTCTGGTTCCTCCTGGTCTCACACGTGCTGAGCAGCCCCAGCCACCACGATGGCTCCACCACACGCAGTAAAAATAGGGGGTTAGAGGTGATTCTTGCCCTGCAGAACACACGAGCTGAGCTTCTGGGAAGGAGGTGAAGTTTTTAGAGTCCCAATCCTTGTTTTTCAGAAGGTAAAATCCTTGTTTTACGGAGGTGAATGAAGATGTTGAGATTAAACCCTTTTTCTGGGCGTGCAGAAGGCGCAGAGCCAAGGGCTGGTTCCTTCACTCAAGGCAGAACCTCTCCCCAGCCATTAACCAGGGCTGTGACATGAAGTATGATCTCTTGGCTGTACCTAAATCCCAAGGCAACACCTTTATTAATGGCACAGCCTCAGGACTCAGCTCAAGCAGAGGAAAAACGAGATTTAAATCCCTCAGTCTGAGGGTTGGTCATCCCTGCTGTAGCCTGTGACCACATGGGCACATCTCCATCGTTCAAAGCCTTAAGGCTCATGAGCAGCTCTGCCTTTGGTGCTACAAACCACAGGACTTAGTCCCTGTTGATTAACAAGAGGAGACATTTCTCCAGGGGGTGGCATGGCCTCACAAAAGACTTGGTTCTTCCTTGAATCTGTCAGAAATGCATGTTTTCCCCAGAGAGTGAAAGCTCACCTCCTCCTAAAACTTGTATTTTAGGAGAGCTGGACTTGGCACTCAAGTATTTTGCAAGATTGCATTGGCAAATCCCTTTTTAAAATTCAAAGCTGAGCCCACACGAAGAGTGACTGAAAATCTTCGCATTTCTTTGGGTTGCTTGATAAGCAGAAATGTTTTTGCAAAGCCAGGAAAACAGGACTCTTGGGATTTTCTCAAGTTCTTTGCTAATATTTCTGCTGGTCCCACCAGAGCAGAGCTGCACAGGAATGTGGAGGAATAAGTGGAGTGTGCAGAGCAGCTCAGAGCTCTGCTCCTGGGATCAATTTTACATTGATCTTCAGGGATGGGAATATCCAGTGTCTGAAGAAGGCAAGAAGCTGAACCTCACAAGATGCTGCAAGGAGCTCCCCAAAACAGCCATCCCTGTCCTCACCCAGCGTCAACAACCTAAATATTGTGGATGCCTTGGGGTATAAACCCTCCAAGGAGGAAGTGAATGAGCTGGGAGAACTTGTGGGCTGGTCCAGCCCATCTCCCTGAGCAGCATGACCTCCCTGTGAGCTTCCCACAAGCACAACAAGCAGCCAGGGAGCAACAGCCACCCCTCCACTGTGACTTCTCAGGTTTTTTTGGCTCCATCAGCTCAGCCTTTGTTCTGTCTCCTCCTTCCACCTGCACTCTCAAGGCACAGAGGACACCCCTGGACACTGACTGCCTCCTAGCACACAGCTGCAGTGCCATCATCCACCCCCTCCTGATCCACCTGTCTCTGCCGACAGAAGTGGCCAAACTGACACAGGGAGAGTGGTTTTAGTTGCAATTACTGCCTCCTGTGTTCACCCTGAGTGCCTGGGTCCTGAGTGGCACCCCTGGCCACCAGCCGGGGCTGGATGGAAGCTCCCTCTGCAGCCTGATGTGTTTGCAGATGCCCAGTGGGAGAGGTTTGGTCTGATTGAAGGAAGATAGCCATCCTGTTTTCTCCTGACAATAGCACATAGGGATAGAGGAATTAGGGCAATGCAGTAAATGACCCATCCAGCCATCAGAAAGTCCTTGCTGGGACACGTCAGGATGGGATCCATCGCCCGGAGGTGCTGAGTCCTGTGGACCCAGCAGCAGGTTGTGATGCTCTTGGATCCCATCTCCCAACCTGTACAGAGTCCCTGGGTGCTCCCCCCATGCTCCCCACGGTGGGCTGGGCGTGTGGCTCACCCGGCCACACTTCCCTGGACAGAGGCACTCGAGAGAGGCGGATCCCGCCCTCCCTCTCCCTCACCCGAGGTTAATCCCCCGCTGTGCTAAAGAGTTTTGCCTGGCTCCTAACACGACTTGGCCTGGCTTTAATTTTCAGCCACTGCTTCTTGGTTGGAATTTCCCTGCCACACTAAGCGGCTCTTTAGCAACCCAACTTTTCTTTCTATGAATGCCTTTGCCAGCTGTAGTAAAAATCACCTCCCGGTATTGGCATCACCTTCACACCCCACGCTTTGCTTTTCACCTGGGGGAGAAGACACCCCTGCATGGGCTGCAGACCCAGCTATGAGCAAAACATGGACCAGGTGCTGAGACCTCTCTGATGAAAGGGTTTGGCTGCAGTTGCTCAGCTAAGCTCAGTGCTGCTGTCTCCTGCTCTCCTCTTTCTCCCCTCTTGCCAAGGACCTCACAAGCCTTTTGTTCGCTTGCTTTATTGCACACAGATGTACAGAGCTTCATCAAACTGTCTCTACCTGAGCAACCAGGCTCCAATATGAATAACCAGGTTTCATTTAAACACAGATGTTCAGAAACTTGGAGAAGGCTGGAGTGGAAAAGGGGAAAGCTGTGGTTTGGACCCGGCTGAAGAAAGTACCGCAGAGTCTTCTCCGCATTGAAAACAGCGACTCGGTCAAATTAATCACTCGAAGAAGGCCAAGGTGGGCAGGATTTTCCATTTGGGAGAACGAAAGGAGATACATGAATGGAAGCACAGGCTGGAGCTGTGTGGTGGGAGCTGTGGTTGTGGTCTTTGTGCTGCTGCTGTGTCCCCCAGGCCCCATGTCCCAGTGCCCTGCGTCTCCCAGGACGCATTCCTCTCCGTGGTTTTCATTCAGCAATGACAATGCTGCCCTTTCAAAAGACCCCACCCTCCCAAAGCTTATATTTTGGCAATTTTCAAAATGCAAATTGCTTTTTAAACAAACGAAAGCCCCAAAACATTTTGTTTTAATTTTTGCAAACAATAATTCGGGGGAAGGGGGGAAGGGAAAGGGGGGGATAGAAGAACCCAGAGGCTGAAAGTAATCTCTAAATTTGACTTGAATTTATGAACAGTCTCAGTCTCTTTAAAATCGTCCTTTTCCCAAATAAGTTTCTTTTTTCTAGAAAATTGCTAGTTCAGCCTGAGCCATTATTTCTCTTCTGCAGAGCAATCCTTGCGTGCACTGTCCTGGCTGCTGAGAGGGCACCCTGTCCTTACCCATCTGGGAGGGGGCTTTGCTCCCAGGGCACCCCTGGAGATATCTTCAGGGATCTTATTTTTGAGGACCACACTGGTCAAGGGAAGAACCACCTTTAAATCAAAGAGAGGAGACAATAGAGGTGAGGCAGCCAGAGACCTGTCTGCTTGCTGGACTGGGAGGTAAAGAGAAATCCCCTCTAGAGACAGCAGGAGAGCATCCCTGGTCCCCTACAGTGTCTCTTCAAGCTTGCTGGCAACTGGTTTGAGGTTTTGGAGCAGCTGGGCATGAACTTGGAGCTGCTGGATGAGCTCCCACACCACTACATGGCACTGGAGCCCACCGGTCCAGCACAGGCTGCTGTGCATTGGGTTGCCAGGGCTGTGTCTGCTGAGTGATCCCAGGTGGTGTGGCATGCAGGGATCTCTCCTGAGGGCTATGGATGTGGGGGAGAGGGCTTCTGTCCGTGCCTGCTGCAGCAGAATGGCCAAATGTGGGTGAACACCAGCCGTGGTGGTGACAAAGTCCTGCAGAGTGGAACCACCACATGTAGCCCCAGGAGCTTGGAGCCATCAGTAGAGTGCCCAGACCCAGCTCTGCTTGCCCTCCTGTGTGTCCCAGTGCCACCCACCTCAGACCCAGCCAGACACTGAACAGAAGCGTTTGCTCAGGAAAATTCATTTGCGTGAGTGCTGAGTCTGAGTGAGGAGCAGGCTCAGAAGTTGGCTTGGTTTGCTCAAGCAAGGGGAAATCCATCAGGGGGTTGTGGCTGTGAGGGGGAGACACAAGGTCTGTGCCAGGCCCCAGGT